TGAATATGATCTATTTTTGTTATCTCTTTTCTTTTGTCCAGTGACGGAGTTAGCAAGACATTTAAGTTAGTGCCAAAAAATTCAGCTGATGCCACGGTTATATAAGTACGACCAAAACGTGACTAATTTTTAAAAAACTTGAAACATGATTTGCTACGTTTTAAACGTAGCTAAATAAATTTGACTAAATTAACCAGTGCCAAGATATCTCTTGGCACTAACGTGGCTCCCCCACTGCTTCTGCCTAATGCGTTTCATTTATTATTTTTATATTAGATGAGACAAAATTATCCTATTTAACATATAAGAAATATATTCCCCATCATATATTTATAAACATTATGTTTTACAGATTTTTGTTATACATAGCGTGATTTAGAATTAAGTTACTCGATTTAGCTTGCTTTAGTAATGATTACGGGGTGATTGTGTGAAAATGTTGCTTGAAGCACACACTTGCGAATTAATGTAAAATTAACCAAATTTAACTCAACTACCAATCTGACTCTATCATATTATTATTAACTATCCCCAACAATTTTTAGTGGTCCAATCGCACCCAGTCATTGTATCCATTTTTCTCTCTTCACAACATTGACATGATAACATAGCTGTGCTCGTATCTTATTTTGATTGGATGGATGTACCGAGTATTGGGTACAATTGGAACACTTAAAATATCTCTCTCTTTTACCTTTTATCCAATCAATTTCTCGCCCAAGTACATCCTATGGATAAAGATAACAACAGTTTTACATAGAGTGCAAAAATTCAAAAAAAGTTTAATGAGCTGTAATTTTTAATTATTTTTAAAAGAAATCATTTAAAATTACATATCAACAAGTTGCACCTTATATTATTAAGCTCATGCTTAAAATTTTCTAGATGACATTTATGATGAGTTAGAGGCTTATTCCTTAGAATTTTTTATATCTCTACACATATCTCTACACCGTTAGCCACTATACACTGATAGTAGGATAGCATGCTTTGTGTTAGAGACAAGCTTTGTGTTAGAGACAAGACCAGACATTGGTGATATAATTTTTTTTTTTTTTTGGGGGGACTCTAGAATCTCTCTCCCAAGCTTGGAGAGAGACCCCTCCTTTTTATATATCACCTTCTCACATTGAAGGATCATCTTATTATCTATTGCTTTTATGAGCTGTTATTCTGCACAAGTGTAGAGCCGCTATAACCATTTACACACACCCACCCCTTTGATATACAACACATGAGAAGCTCCTACAATGTCTTGGTTCATACCATTACGACTAAAAGTATCCTATATCAACATTCAACATCTCTTAGGGAAAATATCAATGGCTCTACCCAATCAAACACGAACAGCTCATCTTCAATCTAAATTAATTTAAAATCACTAGTCAATAAACTCAAATCAAAAATTAAGAGAAAAATAAAAGTAAAAAATAAATATATAAAATTTTATAAAGATTATGTGATACAAAAGTATAAGATTTATTACTTAAATAATTTGTTAATTAAAAAGAATCAGAACAATCTCAAATTCATATTATGACTAAACATAATTGGCTCGTTGTTCGTTTCTACTGTGCCATCTCATGCTTGGAAGAGTCGCGTCTCTTCGTTTGCGAACAATCGCGCCTCTTCGTTTGCAAATAGCCACATCTCTTCGTTTTTGAATAGTCTTGTCTCTTCAACGTGTCTACGGTGAGCGTTCATCTCTTATATATATATATATATATCGGTGTTTAGTAAATTCAAATAGTTAGTTTCTCTTAAGTCCTTATCACAATTCTGTCAAAATTATTCCTCACTTGTTGCCTTTGTATGCGATTGATCAAGCATTTATTGTGTTCGTCAATGTTGTTTCTTCTAACACCATCAAAACAAAGATAATTCATTCCATTCTAAAAGTATTTTTGGTTCACATCAAATTAGTTATCGCACTCCTCTCAACTTCTAGGTTAGAGAGAGATAATAGATCAAATTAATTATCTCATTCCTCTCAACTTTTTGATGTAGCATACCACGTGTAATTTTGCCTTTCAAGTTAGCTTTTCAATTATTCCATATCTAGAAGTCACATACTCCATATTATCTCTTGCAGGGAAAAGAATAAACACAAATCATTTTTCGTTTACGTTATCTCATTTCTCTCAACTTCTCTTTATTATTTTAATGTCCATTACTTAGTAGTTTAATGGTATTATAACTTATATAACCAATTGATTAACAATTTGATCCTCACTGCTTTCGTTTTATTAAAAAAAATTAATTTTGTATAATTTCTTCATACAATAGATCGGACCCGATACATTATAATTAATGGGGGTACATATTCTTTTCCTACTATGCATAATCAAGATGTTCTTTCCAATAACATGATTCTTTCTGCAATTCTCTATTAGATTAATACAACGTTACAGCAACACATTCCGTAATGCATTTTGCCAACATATAGGGAATATACCCACAGAATACCGACTTTAACTACAATGTTCCAGTAATCTAGGGTGTTACAAGCTGAGTTAATGTACTTTATTCCAATTGGATTTTAAAAGCACCTTACCCTTGAAGCTTCTCAAATATTCCATAAAGTTTTAGTTAAGATCATTGGATAGTTTCCTATAATTCCACTAGTGAACCTAAACAAAACAATGCAAAGGAGAATTATTAATTCATGATTTAAAATAGCCTTGAAAGCAACATGAATCTTAACCAATCTCAGATATTATCATGCTCGCCACATTGAAAATTCAAAAATAAAATTGAGGCAAAAAATAAAAATAACAAGCAATGCAGCAATCCATGATGTTAACTCGAGGTTTTGAGATGCTCACCACTAGGGGTCCTAAACGAGCCAGGGGGCTTACAGAGGCCTTTGGCTCGGCTCGTGAAGGTCTGAGCTTACATGTCTAAAATTGATTGTTGGACCCAGGCTTGGACTTGTATAAAAGCTCGTTTAATAAAAAGACCTCATGCTCCAATTCAAAAGCTCGGCCTTAGAGCCTCTCAGGCTTGCCTAATATATTATTTATTTTTTTATTTTTTTATACTACTTGTGATAGCCCTCTCTCTTCTCAATTCATTTCATCCCATTTTATTAATTAAACAGACTTTTTAAATGATTTTGTTTTATATTATGCTATTTGGATATACATTAAATTTATGAATATTTATGGAATTACTAGTGCTATTGATTGTATATTTTGTTTGGATAAATTTTTGTTGTGTTATTTTTTTTAAACAAGCTAAACAATGCTTTTATTTTTTGTAAATGAGTCAGGCCACATGCTGATACTATATTCGTAACAGGTAACAGGCTAAGGCCAGTCTGACACATTTGAACACAGACTCGGCCCGTTAAGACCAAAGCTCGGCTCGGCTCGTTAACACCCCTACTCACCACATTTTGCCTTACTCAGAGTAGTGGTATTGCCTAGCTACCTCCCTTGTTTTTTAAATTAAAATAAATTAAAAGAAATAACGCTATTATATGCTAACAACTTAAAATTCTAGAAAATTTAAACAGATTGCATTGGAGCAATTTTTTAAATGAAGAAAAGAAAATGGATGTTTTAATAAAGGGAAATATGTTACTCTGTGTTACATGAAATAATTTGTCTTATGCACACATAAAAAATAGGTGAGATTCACTTTTTTTTCTCTCTTTTTCTTAATAAATTTATTCATTTTTTTATATGAGATAGTAACATGAAAAATGTATTCCTCTTCAATCAATTGCATATTGTAACTCATTATAATGCAAGCACTGGTCCAAACTCTTCGAACCGATAAAAGTTGGCCCAATCGCATTGTGTTTTGACAATTTGACTATATGTAATTGGGCTGGCTAAACAGGTAGTTATACTTTTTTTTGATTGAATATATATATATATATATATATATATATATATATATATATATATATATATATATATATAGGAGATGATATTCTTACACTGGTGTAAGAGTTAGAAGTTTTACATTCAATCTTGACCATTGATCCACTTGTATCCAATGGCTCACATTACTAAAAAATTAGAACTCTTAGATATAAGTGGAATCAACGGACAAGATTGAAAGTGTAACTTACACGGGTGTAAAATGATCTTGACCCATATATATATATATATATATGGTAACTCTCATGTGAAATTATAATAAAATACATACAGATATATAATAAAGTAAAAAGTATTTGTCCTTTTAAAGATGATCATTTTAATTAAAAATATATTTTATTTAAAATTTAAATAAGAAAAATCACATACTTTCTCCCTCTATGATTTTCATTGTGTATCTTTTTCTCACTTAAAAAGGACACAATTATATATCCTTTAAAAGGACAAATATCGTTATACAAAAAAAATAAAAAAATAAAAATAAAAAGGCAAATATCAAACCCTATAATAAAATACCTAATAACATTATAACCAAGAGCTGATACATTTGATAACAAAGAGTGCCGCGAGTCATTAGTACTATCCTTGAAAAAAATTCTTTGGATTTAAGGATTAATCTACCCTCCCTCTATTTAATACACCCTTCACGACAAGAGACATCTTGTGAAGTCCACCTCTATTTTATTTTTTTAAAATAATAGACCCCACATAAAATATCTCTACAACATGACACAAACTTCCTCCTACAATATAATATTCATAAATCCCATAATTTTTTACTCAACAATTATAACTCCGCATTTTAACTAGATAATAAATAAATTAGCCACATATTATAATGGATCACGAGATAGCTTGGACTCCCAAGTTTAGGTCAAAATGGAAATTATGGTTAGAGTTCAAAGGTGGCAAGTTATGAAGCGCAACTCTTACAATTGTTCATCCAAGCAAGGACAAGTTGAGACTTCAGAGTTTTCATAAAACTCGCCGGATCATAAAATGTTAATTTCATTTTGATAACCTTAATACTAGGTTTATCCTTACACCAAGAGAGAAACAATCATGTTATCAACACATTAAGAATAGTTGGGTTATCATGGGCCAAAAGGAAAAAAAAAAAGGTACAATATAACAACAACAAAAAAGGACATTTGGTGACAAACAATCCCGTTTACCTAAAATTATTACTTCCTTTGACATTTTACACAAAATTGACCTGAGTGCAGCAAAAATTAGACCTTGAAAAATTGTCAAATAAAATTCCCAACACAAAAAAGAATCAATGAAAAAATGATGCACCAAAGGTTTCCACTGCTCTATCCCACAAGACATCTTGGACAAAAAGAAAAGAACTACATTTTATCTTTATCCTAGTGGCAGATATTGAACATCCTTTAGTATCTGTTGTAGGAGAGCTACAATCACATTTTCTTCTTCATTTGCAAGCCAAACACAATTTGAAGCATTGACTGCACCTTCTCTTTTATAAGAAGATACAGCAAAAGAGGGGAGAAAGAATATAGGGTCGGAAGGAGGAAAATTGAAAAAAAGAGTTGCTGCCCATCCAGAAACAAAATAAGGCAGGCATCCAGGAAATTTTGAAACAGCCACTTCTGGATTTTTTTTTCTAAAAGCTCTGCTAAAGATTTTGAAGGGCACTTGTAGTGTGAGAGTTAATGTAGCCTCCAACTCTATGGTTGGTAAGAAGGAAAAAGAAGCCTTCTCCACAGCAACCCCAAAATCAGGTTAACCAAGCAAATACATGTCCTCCAAATCATCTTTACTCAAGCATAGTACATGTATAAACTATTTGCAGCAGCACAAGCAATCGCATTTTCAGTTGGGTGCCATGCTAAGTGCAGTAACTTTGTTGTGAAATCAAAAGAATTCCCATTTGTATCAACACCAGTGCTTTCAGTTCCTGTTCAAGATTATCAAAAATATTGGAAGTCTTGATGATATACTATAAAAAGAACAAGATATATTATGAAAACTCAAAAGTTAGACAAGGTTGTTAAATACAAAACTGACCACGTCTTACAACTCTTGTTATACTGTTTCCCAGTGATCTAGAAGGTCTTGAAGGGGTTGGAACTTGTCGTCTGAGGAAATGAAAAAGTTGATATAAATGCTACATTGCCTCACTACACCATAATTCGTGTTAAGAGTTTCCCATATAAAATTACCTCATTGGATTTTTACTTGCTTCCAAAGTCGTAGCCTCAGTACTTCCCAGAGAACAACCAAAGACACGGAAAAGATTGCTGGTATCAAATGAAACAAAATAATAAGATGCAGGCACAATGATAACAGAGAACCACAGATAAATTAAGTTTGAATCACGGACCTGTAAGAACCAGTTGAAACACGCAAACCATCACCACTCAAACAACATTCAAACTTATCAAATATTGAATCGTTTTCGTATAAATCACAAAGCTGGTACATTCCCAAAAAGAAAAGCCAGTTATTATGATTCAGTAAAGCAGCAGAAATTCATGGCTCATCACTTGTCTAAACATAGGAATCTAACCTTTGGCCTCAAATACTCGTGAACCTGGAATGTTGTAACTGGGCCAGAATCCATATTGATATCCCATAACTGACAAACAAGCAAAGTAAGATGAGATGAGAGTTGAGGGATTAAGATCATAACAAGCAGAAGGTTGTAGTAGTAATAATAATAATAATGACATAGCATGCTCTGCCTACTCAACAACAATAGAATGCCCAAGGAACAAAGAGTTGTAAACTAAGATAATGATTGGCTCATGGCATTCAACCACTACCAGTCTAGCACCAATGGATTCTATTAAATACCAAATTTTCAATAGACCCAATTGAAATCAGGATCTCTTTCACCCTAAGCGAGAATTTTACCACATACCAAAGGCCAACCAATGTCTCATGGAATTCAACAAATTTAAGGCATCTCCATCCAAAATACTCAGAAAAACTTTAATGACAAGCATGGATTTTAGAATAGTAAAGATTTCAAACCTTAAGAGTCATGTAATCACGACTAAGTATATATCTTCCATCCTTGCCAAATTTTATGTCTGAGATAGAAGCAATAATCTCTGTGAAAAATGATCTGGACCCAGGGGCCTCCTGTTCCTCAAATCTGTATAAAAAGTATTTCTCTGTGACTCTACCAGGCATAAGAAATTACATATATGTATACGTAAAATGGGCTTCGGGAAAAATATTTTGTTCATAAGCAACATTTCATTAGTCCCAGTCAAGAAGGAAGCAAATCATCTACTTTCCTTTAATTTTCACAATCCTCTAAAAATATGTTAATAAAGTATAAGCCATAAGGGATACAAATAAGAACATGAGCAAAAGATGAGCTTACAGTTTGGCATGAGAATCACATAATGCTGACTGCCGCAAGTCAACAAGACGAATTGAACCCTTTGAACTGCTATATGCCAATGTATTACAATGTGTAGGGTGAAATTCTGCTGATGTTATAACCTCTGCAATAATAATATCTAGGGTCAAGGCTCAACCAAGACTATCAAAAAAGTACCCAGCCAGAAAAATATTAGAAATAAGAAAACAATAATTAAAAAAAAGGTTAAATTTACGAAACCTAATCCAAACGACCAACAAGTGGTAATTTTTTAACATCCTGACTAATTATTTCTGCTTTAGCACCACAGTGAGCAAGTTATATCACAGGGTTTTCTTATAGAATTTTTACAGCTATCAATCAGGCCCTATTAGTGTGCCTTGCCTGAACCAGAGAGGTGCCTAAGGCTCCCGAGGTGTTTACCTCATGAAAGGGTAACACCTCAACTAGTAAGACACGCACCATTTTGGCACCTTTGCTTAAATTTTTAGTAGCAGGATGGAGTCTACATACTTATGGGTTTAGGATTCTATTCCTCATTCTTGTAGGATGAGTTATAAAAGGTCTATTCAAACAAGTGTAATGCTTTCATTTAAGCAGAAGATCAGACTTACAAAGTATGGCAGCACATCACTATCTGCCTGATTGTGTGGTGCAATCAAATCCTCAATGCAATAATTGCAAAGATCATATTTATTTGGTAGACATCATTAAAAACTCCCCCATCAAAGCAGCAGTCGATTCCTACTATAATTTTTACTGAAACCCATCAAATCCCAAACACTAATTCCGCAAGTATTGTTCACAACAACCAAACAGCCATCACTCCAACCATAAAAAAACCCCATCCATTGCTTGTGAATCCCCTTAGTAAAACATAAACCCAAAGAACCTTTGACTTCACCTGTTCACCCCAAAAACCCTGATTATGATAAGTTAAATCCTAATTTTACTGCCATTCAACATCATAGAGATAAGCTAGAAAGATTTACACATGCAAAATGAACACTTATCAGATAACTACAACTTATATGTTGTCATTACTTCTTTAACTAGATAAATCATACCAAGTTACCAATAGAGAAACATTTTCAGCACAGCATAAAAGTATAAAAGTGAAAGCTTACCAGTCAAATCCTCCATATTTGCGGGCTTTACATCAACAATATTAAAACTTTGATTGCTAATTTCCAAGTTCCAAAGATTTATTCGCAAGTCATCAGCTGATATGAAAGTTTCACCATCGCTAGAAGATATTTGAAACACACCATCGTCCAAATTTGATCAGATTTCAGAACATCATTCAAGCCATTAAACAAGGGCGCAAAAAATCACGCAGACACAAAACACTCCAGGGAATTAAAAGTCAACAATTTCAAATCAACACTACATGAAGATAAATAAAGAAAACAAAAAAGTAAGATTTGACACTGAAGTTAGGGATTTCTCAATAGGTAATGTTGCTCCAATACCCAACCACAGGGCCACAACGGTACCAATCAAAAAGACGGTTGTTGCTATTGGATGGCGAAATGGGTTTTGAAATTTATTAACATTTTCCAAAAAGGGTACTGTTTATAATCCCGCAGGTACATCATCATGGTTTCTCAATCCACCAAAAATTTACCAGTTGAAAAATATGATACACTAACAAAAATGAAATTACCTGTTATTTGAAATAGAATTGATATGATAATCATGAGCATGGGCATACACTCTACGACACCGAGCCAGCAGACTAGTCTCATGACTGGTTACCTACATTTTTTACAACCCATGTATTAGCACTAGCTGCACTTAAAAGTTTCAAACATGTAACTGTCAAGGTTTGAAAAAGAAGCTTAGAACTGTAACCGCTTTCCTTTCTTTCCTCTCTGATAAAGTGTCAGGGAACATACTAAATTACACACTCCAATGATGAAACAATCAAATCAAATTAAACGTTAATGTTTCTATTTCTTTTTAATTTTCCACTTTCTTTATGAAGAGGTCCATACAGGAGGGCAAAAAATTTCTAGCTAGATGATTATACTCAACTATGTTTGTTATGATCTGAAAGGTAACTGGAAAAGCAAAGGTGTGTTCCAAAAGTATTTTACGCTTAGTAAAGGGATTTGAATGTATTCCTTTGCATCCCTAAGGACTTTAAAGTGTCAGCGTGATGCTTTTGTTCTTAAATATATTTAATGAAATTCTAATTATAAAAAAGTATTAAAAAAGACATTTTAGTTTCTATACCTTACCCAAACTAAAATAAGCAACCTTAAGCACCGTACTGAAATCAACCAGTAAATATGTTTCAAGTACATTTATTGTATACAAAAAGAACATGACTACATCCCCTTTTAGAGAAGCCCCTCCCCCACAATAAATAAATAAAAGAAAGTTGTGAGACTCTGTTCAGACAGAAAGTAGGTCAATAGTAAGCATTACTGAGTTTTGTCTCTTCCATGTTAATACACCGACTTCTTGGTTTTTCATAGTAAAAAATCACACTAAAAATTTTTATCCCAAAGAAACAAAGCATGTGAAAAGGAATTCAACTGGTAGGGCTGAATACAACTACCGAGGGTAATCTTAGCGAAGGTATGCCTCCTGGTGGAAATGAGAAATCATTGCTTAGATAACTGTATGATCTATCTGGAGATCCTCCATTTGCAAGAAATGGCCTAGAGCCACTGGAATTACTTGAACTGGCAATAGAGCCATTTCCCATTGCTTTTGAAGGGTCAACATTCATGTCAGAAATTTTCTTGACCTTCTTTTCTTGAACCTGTTCAACTCTCAGATAAGGAAAAAATAAGAAAAGGTGACCTAGGAGACAGATCAATCATATTAATTCATCAGAAAACTACTAAAGGAAATGTAATTACATTAATTTTGAATACATGCACAAGCAAACACTCATTGTAGATTCATCGGTATTTATTTAACAGCATGGCCATCTTTCATATTATTATTTACTTTTCCTCACAAAATTTTTAATGCCTTTAGTATAATAGTAACAATCACATAATCAATTAACCATTAAGATGACATATTGTATGATAAAATGTTTCAACCAATGTCCTAGAAAGATGGTAGTGTTCAGAAAGGTAGTCACGACAATATGCACTTAAAAATGAACAGATGACACATGCATGCACCCTAAAAAGAGTCACCCTCTATAAGCAGAGTTATCTAGTTAACTGAAAAAAGTTTAATATTTAATAACCAGATATTCAAAATATAATTGGTAATTTCTGAAGGCTAAGCCCAGGAAACAGAATTCATTAGACCCGAGATATATGGGCCTCATAAACTATAACACATCTCCAGAAACAGATATACTGTCAAAGCATGTGAGACAAGGGACCAAACTTAGCTCTACAGAAATGTAATCATGCATGTCATCCATAAAAAAATTGATTCAAAAAACAGCACTCAGCATGCCACAGGTAAGCATTCATTTCATACCTTCCAAAACTTGATGGTTTTATCATTTGTTGATAGAAGGAAAAGAGCGCCATTTGCTGTTTGGCACCACTTGATTTTGTTAATTTTCTCTTCTATTTCCAAGCTCTTAAGATAGTCAAACTGAAACAGCGATTACATGTTATAGATATTAACATTTCTGAGCTACAGGTAGTTTGGGCAGCATTAACTGGTGACTGAAAATTACCTCAGGCTCATGACTCTGAAACTCTGTTTTATAACGGAACTCAGGATGCCTACCAACAGAGTAGTCCATCCTCTCCAAATCCCTTCTTGATTCTTGATGCTGCATGTAACAGTATACATAGATATTATGATATTAATTATGTTAACAGAATCTTTCAAAACAATGTTTGGTTAAAAATAAAATAAAATAAAATTGTAGAAGCAAAAATCATACATCTTTTGCATCTGTCCGCTCAAAGAGAACTACTCGACCACCACGATCACCAGTAGCAAGATGATCACCAGACTTGTCAAATTCAATAGCAGAAATTATGTCCACTGTAGAAAGTAAATTCAGTAAATAATTAGGAAACTTACACATTAACCTGCAACAAAAGCTAATCCAAATTCGTCAATCACTCTGTACAGGAAGAATCCACCATACTGCTAATGGTGTCTATATGCCAAGAATAGATACCCAATAAGAACCCGTTAGATTCAAAAAACCATGTTGGAATTGCTATTCTTTCTAGTCCTGTAATCCCTTACATAAACTATTAAATAATTGAGTAAATACCCTTTTTGGTCCCTAACAAAAAATACGGTCTCCACTTTAGTCCCTTACAAAAATAAATTAGTCAGTTAGTCCCTAACAAATTCAAAGTGGACCCATTTAGTTGAAATCGTGGTCCCTCACAAATTCAAAAAAAATCCATATTAGTCCCTCAAAAGGACTAAAATGGATCCACTTTGAATTTGTTAGGGACTAACTGACTAATTTATTTTTGTAAGAGACTAAAATGGGGACTGTGTTTTTTGTTAGGGACCAAAAAGGATATTTACTCTAAATAATTCTTAGTTACAGTTTGACACGAACACTGCAGTTTGCAGTGAGTTAAACCAGCTTTCAAAAGGCAGGTTTTTATGAATAAAGAAACCATGGCCTCTCACCAAGTCCAATTATATACCACCATATTGCTGCCATGATACTGTCAAAAGTTTCCAAGACTATCCAAATGTAGAATCAAATCAGCCAGATCAGATAGACACAATTTTTACAGAATTAGATATCTTAAGCTCCCTCATATCAAAACTGATTAAATTAATATGTTTCACATTCCATTTACACTCCATTCACAAAATTAAACATTTATTTACTCTCTGCGATCCTCATTCTTTTATTTTTGGTGAGGGTTGGGAAATTGAATTCAACGATACTCTGTGGTTTACATTCTTCAATTATCATTCGTAACCTAAAAATTAGAACATAGCTCCGCCATCTCGACCAGAGACATGAAGTTATGGGACAATGTTTCCAGACCATAAAGGCTCTTAATTGCTGTACTGAAATTTTGAAATAGCAAGAAACTAATTCCACCAGAAACACACCGTTGAATCAGCAATACTAAAAAACGGTGCAACTATCAGGATGCCGGATGCACACTCACCCTCTCCTTCCCTTCAATCCCAAATTCCAGATGCTACCTTAGTATAACAGTAACACCATATATCACTAACTATTTTAGAAAAGCAAGATATTGCTTCAATTTTATCAACATATATTTTCATTCTTTTTTGACAGAAAATGTTGTTTCTTCTTATATGACACAGACACATTTGCTACACGCCAATTCTTAAAAATATCAGCTAAGCATTTCCGGTCAAAGGCACCACCAAACAAACTGGTACTCCAACCAATCAAACGCTGCCAACTTGACCCTTGCAGCCAATCTTCAATGTCACTCATCAAACTACACGCCATTAAGATCTAAGACCTAGCACTCAAACTCACATTGAAAACTAAACAAACCAATTCACCTCAACAAGAACTGCTAGCAATATAAGCACAAGCTAGAAACACAAAAAAACAAAGCCAAAACCAAAACCACCATTATTAAGTCCAACAGTTCATTTTCACACTCTTACCAATCCAACCAACTAAAAATTCACAATGCAAAACACAACCTCAAACCACTACTTCCCCCCAAATCAAACAAGAACATCACAATCACACATCAACTACGCAATAACCAAGAAGCCAAAACAACGAGGGAGCGACGAAACACGATCTTAAACGGATCAAAAGAACCGAACCAAACCCTAATCCCAACACATCAACTGGATCCGACAACAAGGGCACCCTCGACAATACAACGTAGGGACAATTACCTTCCTGAACTTCTTCCCCAGCCGAACGTTCGCCGAAAACCTGCGAGAATTTCCACTCCAGCGGTTGCGGTGGACCCGCCGGAGCTGCGACGACCTCATCGCCACCGTTCATTTCTCAATCAACGGCACTGAAAAATCTCGACAATTTCTGTATATCAACGCGACATAGAAGATTTCCTTCCTGGGTTTTCACAAGATCGTAGCTTCAGAAACATCCATCAAAGAAAGATACAATTTTTCTTCTCCTCTCATACCCTTCTTAGGATTTCCAGTTCATCCATTGGAACACCCAAAAAAGAAGAAGAAAAAAGACCAAAAATTCTCTCTCTTACAACCTCAAATTTTTCTCTCTCTAAAAGGAGAAAAATGGGAACTTATTGTTATTGGAGATTAAAATGACTGAGCAAACGGTTCTTTGGGTTTGGAGATGAAAAAACACACACGCACACTCTTCTCTGTCTCAATAATAGGTTCCTGTTTTGTTTTCTTCGTACGTAAATATATAATTTCCTTGTCTATGATAACCTAACGTGTCTGTCACACGAGTTTGTGAAGTACCGAATCTGGTTGGTTGGGATTTGATAAGTAGAGCTGTCAAAATATGTTAAAGCCCATCCGTCACCTCGCAAAATATTATATTTGATCTTAATTTTTTTTTCCTGATAGAGTCTGTTTTAATTCTAACTCTCAAAATCTTATAATTTGGCGGGCTGTACTATAATTGACTCGCGGGCCAAACATTTTATTTCATTAGAATTTTCATTATTTAAAAAATTAAAAATTATATAAATTTAAATATTTAAAAATATAAGTAAAAATTGTTGTGAATATAGAAAATATAAGAAAAAGTGAAATGTAGAAAAAAAAAAAAGAATAAGGACCTATCTTATATGCATTGTTAAACATGGAAGTTATGAAAAAATAAAGAGACACAAATTATGAACCATGTGAAAGGTTATCCATAATATTTTACTATATTCCCTTGAATGTATTCTACAACTCAACACACCATTAATGTGATGATTATATAATATATCAAACGTCATGAAAAACAAAGAGTCATGTGTTATTAACCATGTGAAAGTTTATCAGTAATGTTTTACAACAAAAATAAATTTTTAATAGTGATATGTTTTAACAGAAATTTTCATCGAATATATAAATAAAAGTAACATGACAACTAAAATAATATTGACTTGGTGGTGTGCCAAGTTTAAATCCTAGTAGTATAATCATGGTCAAATATTTTGTTACAATTTTCAAAAACTGGTATGTGTTAACATAAGTTTGAACCCAATTTTTGATCGATTCATCGAATTTTAACCGAGTTGCATACATAATTGATTAATTAACTAAATTAACTGAATTGGACTGAACGACCAGATCGGCCGATTTTAATGACACTGGGTGGGCGATAGTCGTGAAAATATTCTTATATCTAATTGTCTCTGATGGCTGTGTGGTAAAAGCATGTGAGGTTAGAGAATAATTTTTAGATTGATTCATTTTTTTTCATTAAGCAACTAAGTACTTGTGGAAGGATCGTAAATTGTTGAAAGAAAAGGTTAAGGTGAGATTGTTCGAAATGACTTCCATAACCTTGCCTTTTCATTTCACAGGTATTCTTTCACAACCTATCCTAAGTTTTTCTGATCACAGAAAAGTGGGCCATAGAGGCGGAAACCGGACCGTGATCAAACGGTTCACGATTGTAGGAATTTTTTTGTTAATGAATAAAAAAAAAAGTAATACAAAAGAAAAAAAGGTATGGAAATTTTGGGCGTTCATAAGATTATGTTGCATTTGACAATAGATGAATATATGGAACATGCAAGTATTAGTGAGTGATGATTATTGCTTCCTGCTTTCACCCAGTCCCATTCCCAAACATATGCATGGACATTTTTACCGTATTAAGGTATTTGAAAAAAAAAATACTTATTTAATTTATTTTTTAAAAGATATTTCAAAATAATACAATTGATTTTATATGTTAATTATATAAGATAAGTTTCACGTATTAATCATACAGAACTTAATGTCAGCATAAAAGTCTCACATCGACCATGTGGGAAATTAAAAGTCCCGTATTACAAATGTACAATAGTTTATAGATACGTGAAAATCCTATACGATTAATGTCCGAGACTTATCGGTTAATATGTGAAATCAATCACATTATTTTAGAATATCATTTTAATAATAAATTAAATAAGTATTTATTTTGGGAGGATTATACTTATAAAAAAAAAATCTTACAATTGTTTTTATTATTTTTAGATCAAAATCAAATTAACGGTTTTATAATCGTTAAACCATTGATTTGAGGTAAATTATAAAAAGTTATAAGGAAGAAGAAGTGTTAAATTATATTTTCATTTTTCAAAATTGCATGACCAGTGGATTTGACTTTGACATTGGGACCTCTTGTAACACCAGACGATGCATTTTCTTAAGAATTAAGTATTCTGTTGTAAGCTTATCAAGACAAAACCTCCTTCTCCTCTCCTTCTTTTTCATGATGGGAGTAGACAAATCCTCCTTCTTAATCATGAAACAAGAAGATTAAACTAACTATATTTTACTCTCTTTTTTCTTCTTTCTTTTGCATTTTATTTTTAATTTTATTACATCAAATCAAGTAAACATTTGGAGTCAGGCATAATAGCCCAAAAAAGTGAAAAAAACGCTTTCACGGAGGATCATGGAAATTGTTTATTTATTCTACTAAAATAATTACTTCTGAAAATGTATAACTTTGCAGGGTCAATTTTGGATTTTTCTTTACTGGAAATACAACACAAGTTACTTTTTGACATAGTGATAAGTTGATTTAATTATTTGGGAGATTATTTCCAGCCCAAAATTGTTTCCAGATTTAAGTTTCTGTTGCAGATACGGAAATTATTAGTTGTGGTCCAAAAGAATGGTAGGAAATATTCGGGTAGTAAAATTATTCTCTTGTTCCCTTACATGATAAGTTGATTCTTACACTCAATAAAGTAATTCATACTATCATTTTCGATTTATTTTTTTCGACTATATTATGGGGGAGATAATATTTATAATATATTTTTGCTTAAAACCTTTTTATTTATCCTTAGATTAAAATAAAAATAAATAATTATAAAATAATATTGTTAGGATAAGATCACCTTTGATCTTATTCTTCAACTAATGAAGACCAAGTCTTTAGGAAGAGTTTGTTAATATCTTGTATCTGTATAGTTTGGTTAAGATAGTTTGTTTGTTCTCCATATAGTATTGTTACGATAGTATTAGTATTGTTACGATAGTTTGTTATCGTTTGTTTCAGTTTGCTGTCATTTGTATATATAATTGGCTATCTGCCACAAAGCAATACAACACTTATCATTCAATCTTTTCATACTTTTCTATATGGTATCAGTTTAACAGTAACGATCCAATTTCCCATGGCTGATTCAGATTCTTCCGCTGCCAATGACAATACCAATGCAAAACTCACATCAGAAGCAGCCATCGAACCTACCCTTAAACCTTCTGATCCTCGTTCCCCATTTTTCATGCCCACATCTGATAGCCCTGGCTTATTCCTTACAAATGTGGTGTTGAAAGGAGAATCTAACTATGATGTCTGGGCCAAAGCATTTAAAAATGCTCTCCTTTCCAAAAATAAGGTTGGCTTCATCGACGGTTCTATCACCAAACCTGCCAATGATGCGTTTGATGAAACCCACGCTTGGACTCTTTGCAATTCCATGATCAACAGTTGGATACACAACACTATTGATCCTCTACTCAAGCCATATATTCATTATTTCCCCACAGCCAAGGCCCTTTGGGATGATCTACGGGAACGCTACTCCATTCAAAATGCTCCCAAAATTTATCAACTGAAAGCAAACCTTTTCCAGTTGCGACAACAGGGAATTTCGGTCAATCAATATTATACCAAACTACGGGGAGCTTGGGATGAACTTGATGCTGCACGCGCACTACCTGATTGCCCTTATGGTGCTCATTGTCCTGTTACTCAACATATCACAAAAGAAATGGCTGATGATCGGGTCTATCAATTCCTCCTAGGCCTGGACAACGCTATGTTTGGCACAATCCGCACACAACTGCTGAACCAACCAAATCTACCATCTCTGAACAAAGCGTATTCCACGTTAGTTCAAGAAGAGACTCAATTCCATATGGCTCAGACTCATGAAACCCGAACTGATGTGCTCAGCTATGCTACAAGAGATATTCAAAAACTCCCTTCCTCCAATGCTGATCCTGTTCGATGCAGCCACTGTGGTAAGCTATACCATGATGTCTCTAAATGTTACCAACTTCATGGCAAACCACCCTATGGTCGGGGTAGAGGACGTGGCAAACCCTATGACAAAAGGAACTACACAATTAGTTCTCCTGCACCACAAACCGCAGCTGCCATACCTACGTTTTCCAACCCGAATTTCGTTCCAAATCTGACTCCTGAGATTCTTCAGCAGATTGCCAACATGGTTGTCTCTCCCTCTACACCCTCTGCTAATACTACAACACTTTCTGGTAAGCACATTCCAAATTACACCTGGTTAGTGGATAGTGGTGCTTCTCAACACATGACTGGGAATCTTCAATTAATCTCGAATGTTGAATCCATTCCACCTACTTCCATAGGCTTACCAGATGGTGATCAACTCGTATCAGTTCAACGAGGAATTTTTCAGTTGACATCCAATATTATTCTTCAGGATGTGTTATATGTTCCACAATTAAAATGCAATCTTATCTCAGTTGCTCAATTACTTGCTGATACAAATTGCATTATTTCTTTTACTCACACTGGATGTGAATTGCAGGACCCCACAACGAGGATCAAGATTGGACTGGGTAGATTGCAGGCTGGTGTTTATGTGCATGACTCCTTAAATAAAAGATCCTCCCATACTGCATGTACTGCTCAAAAACAACAGACTGCAGATATTTGGCATCGTCGCTTGGGTCATCCGTCGTTTCAGTCCTTGCATTTTCTCCCTTTTGTTACAATGAATAAACATAAGGAAATTTCTCCTTCAGTATGCGATATTTGCCTTAGAGCACAACAAACTCGCACTGTATTTCTTGTTAGCATTAATAAAACTACTTCATGTTTTGATCTTATTCATTGTGACATATGGGGTCCATATCAAACTGCTTCTTTAACTGGTGCAAGATATTTTTTAACTATTGTGGATGATTTTAGCCGAAATGTCTGGGTTTATTTAATGAAGACTAAAACTGAAACGTTCCAATACTTATCTCAGTTTCTCTTGATGGTTCGTACTCAGTTCAATGCCAATGTCAAAATAATACGATCCGACAATGGTTCAGAGTTCTGTGCTACTAATCTTCGTAAGGTTTACTCAGACATGGGGATTATACACCAAACATCATGTGTGGACACACCACAACAAAATGGACGAGTCGAACGGAAACACAGACACATTTTGAATGTAGCACGGGCACTACGCTTTCAAGCTCATCTTCCCATTGAATTTTGGGGAGAATGTGTTCTCACTGCTGTTCATCTAATCAACAGAACCCCGACACCTCTTCTTCAAGGACAGACTCCATTTGAACGCCTTTTTAATCGTACACCAAACTACGATCACATTCGTGTCTTCGGATGCCTTTGTTATGCTCATCCACGTCCCAAATCGTCAGACAAGTTTGCTGCAAGGTCAGTCCGATGCCTGTTTCTGGGATACCCTTTTGGCAAGAAAGGATGGAGGCTTTATAACCTTGATACACAGACCATATTTGTCTCTAAAGATGTGGTATTTGAAGAAACCATCTTTCCCTATGAAACCCAAACAGAAACTCCTACCAACATTGAAGTTTCCCAACTGATGCAGTCTCATGTTGAAGCAGAACCAACACCGGCTGCACACGACACATCTTCTTCCACTCAATCAGTCGATTGCGAAATTGCACCACATCCTACAACTCCTGCAGATGTTGACCAACGCTCTTTACCTTTGGTTGCACACTATGAACAGTCCATACTACCAAGAACTGTTACATTCCTCCCAAATATCTCAAGGCACATAATCCAGCAGCCTCTTCTACCTCCTCCAGTCTATCCTCAGGTATTCCTTATCCCATTGCTAACTTTGTTTCTTGTTCTAAATTTTCTCCCGAACATCAACAGTTTCTTGCTGCCATTTCTTCTGGAGTCGAACCTAAATCATTCAAAGAAGCTGTCACAGATGAATGATGGCGTTTAGCAATGCGAAAGGAAATTGATGCACTTGAGCAAAACAAAACATGGGAGCTTACTTCTTTGCCACCTGGTAAACGTGCAATCCCTTGTAAGTGGGTCTACCGCATCAAATACAATTCAGATGGTACTGTGGAGCGATTCAAAGCACGGCTGGTAATTGCTGGTAATAATCAAATACCTGGCGAAGATTACTTTGACACATATGCTCCTGTAGCAAAGATGGTTAGTGTGAGGACACTTCTGGCAGTAGCAGTTGCCAAGAAGTGGAAATTATACCAGTTAGATGTTACAAACGCCTTCTTACATGGAGATCTTAAAGAGGAAGTTTATATGCGAGTTCC